TCCGCCTCGCCCATATACATGCACAGCCAGCATAACCGCACGTAGACCATGCATGGAGGGGGGACTTTTAATTCATAATTAAATATCTATCGAATAACGTGCACAATACCGAAAAATAAAAACGTAATTAACGAATCAATCAAACCCCAAGAAACTTGGCAAGTCGCCGATGATCAATCACGATTTAATAGTTCATTTCTTTATGTTTCCTGCAATGTTTCATGCGCTACGCCAACGCTTAGCGATATTTGTATATATTGTTAATATTGTGTTTTCTGAGTTATTACTGTAACAATTCACTCGAGGTGCCTTCTACAGTATTTTTAATCATTCTCTATAATGAAGCGTGTCCTGCATCATTTCATGTGCAACGAGACACATCTATGCACATCAGATTGATCGCACAAGCTTCCTGTACCATATTTCAGCAAATACTTCTGTCATTGTAACGGTTTCCCTACAACCACAAACACGAAGACAACACATGAATTCATAGCGAGTGTATCACCCGTACTTCTAGGAACATATTACGATAATGCATTATTCATATTCATCACGGGTGATTATATCTTTGGTTTTTCTGCAGTTTCAAATTTCTCCCCTTACCCTTCAGTGTCTATGGCAGGATATCGCCAGGAGTCTATTAATAGAGTATGATGATATCACATGGGTGCTACAGCATTATAGCATTACAAAATACAATTCCCTGTCTGCAGCGTTGCTATGGCCATCTCCATGCACGCAGCGCGGTATTGTTTGGCAGGTTAATCTGAAAAATCTGATATTGCTATAGAAAATGTGAGGGGGGAGGGTGGCTGTATATATATAGCCTGTATGTAACCCACGGCAGTTTCACAGGGGCTTACATATAATAGGTATATATCACTGCAACACCGAGCTGGATGCACGCATTGATTTTTTTCGCAGTCAATTTGATATTATAACAAATATATACATACACATACGTAACATATATATATTTGTTATTATATAAAATTATTAAATAGTTGCTTACACTCATAACGCATGGGCTTCACATTCCATGGAGACCAAGTCTTTTTCTTTATCTTATTCTCAAAAGTTGTGGGCATGAGGGAGAGAACTGTATAGATCTAGCCATGTGATAGAGAGAGACCCTTTACGTGTGTGTGCGCTTACACGTGGGTGTGTGCGCGTGAATGTGCTCATGTGTACACTACAGGGCTAGGTTTTCTTATCACACTATTTTAAGCGTAAGCTAGGGTTGCTATGAATACAACTTAATTTTTTATTACCACACCGTCATCGGCTATCAATCAAATTCACAAATGTATGAGCCTACAGAGCACTGAAGAAATTTTGATGGTCAGGGCTAACGAATGGCTGCAATATAAATAACTTGTGGAAATTGATAAAAAGGATGACGTGTGCATGATAAATGGTAAAATACTACATCTATACTATAATTTGGCTAATCTTGTGTGTGTGTGTGTGTGTGTGTGTTTGTTTGTCCTCGCTTTTCGCCCTGATTTGTCACTCAATCGCGCTAACTGAAGATATATTCAGAATCACCACGTCTGGGAGATGGTTCTGGCTGAGAAAAAAATTTAAAAAAGTTTAAGTATTAAGTATTAAGTCAAAAATTCGAAAAGTATTAGGTCAAAAATTCGAAAAAATGCTATTCGTCAATAGATGGCAGTGCGTACAGCAGATCCACATCACATACGTGGGAATTACACTGCGTCTCTTGACTGCCGCCGTGTGAGCATATTCAGAATCAACACGTCTGGGAGATGGTTCTGGCTCAAACAAAAATCTATTCCTCAATAGATGGTGCTACGTCTCAGATCCCCCCCCCTACTGCAGATTCCCCCCTGCTCACTCTGCTTTGACATACACCGTACTGACACAGTAGTCAGTGACCAGTAGCTGTGCCAGTGTTCTGTTGTACCCAGTGCAGTGGTTTTCTTTTCAGTTACATGAAATATTTAACTTTATCTGCGTCACTTACATGGAGTTTATATTTAAAGACAACATTTGCTGGTTCTACGGGTATACTTTCTGCTAGTGTACATAACTGAGCTAAGCATGCAACACAACAAATTCTATTATCAGCTTGTTTATCTACCAGCCAGTCTGTAAACATGGTAGTCCGAGCTGCAAGCGTAAAACCACGCAAGATAATATAATTAGGCATCTTACTATAATTAGGCATCAATTATATATTAATGCCTGTTGTTGGGGTACTATAGCTGGGGGCACACGAGCGTATTTTATCGCCCGATCGCGGCGATTAAAATCGCCAGCGAATTTATACGCCCGATCACGAAGGGGCACACGTAGCAAATTTGAGAGCGTACGCGTACGCTACTGGACGGAATCACATGATCACATGATGCATCACATGATATCAACAACACGTCCGATTGGTTTAAAAAAATCGATCGCTCGACAAAATACGCCAGACACGGGCACACGAGCGAATTTGCCAGCGTAAATAATCACTGGCGTAAATAATCGGCCGAAAATATCTAACATTTTTTATACGGGCAATTCGTACGGGCGATTAAAATCGGCGTCGACGTGAACAGGCACACGGGCGAATTTTTCGAGCGATTTTAAAATTCGCCGCGATAGGGCGATAAAATACGCTCGTGTGCCCCTACCATATGAGAGCATAGTGCCCCCAACAACAGGCATTAATGTTTTTAGTGCATCACATGACTTTGCAATCTACTCGGCAAATATGAAGTGAATAAAAAAATCTGGAGGGCTCCATGTTAATGTCGTCTGACTGATAACAACGCTGGTCTCCCCACCTGTCGATGACTCAGGAAAACTGCTACAGGTAGGGGAAATTGAATTCGAACAATGCAAATAACAATGCATAAATGCAATAACATGAATAACAATGCGCTGCGCAAGCAATAGTGCCTGCTCAGGCGGGCACTATTGTTTCATAGTACCTGCGACGTTATCCAATGGAATTTCAACGATTTATCACGTGATGCACTAATATGCATTATGAGCAAGAAGATTCAGAGCAAATGTTTTGAGGAAAGAACTGCAGGTCACTTCCTAGGAGTTCCTAGCGTTTTTAAGTTTAGATTAAAGTAGTATTCATGCTAATAGTAATCAGAAGATGTATTAGAATTCTAGGAAATAATAAGTGAATTGTATTGGCGTAATCGTAGCACTCAAAACACAGTGATTCCACTGATTATGCAATGTTGTCCTATGCAAACAAACCCTTGCATGACCTTTTGATGAAATTCCTGGGCCTAATGTTAGCTGCAAGTCTGATGATATTGGTGTATACTTATTCTCTATGCATTAAGTGCCCTGTATTACGATTGCCTGGTTGCCAGACACTAGTTAGCTGATTGAGAACGACGATTTGATTAGTTAGCTGAGATGCAAGCAATTTAAACCACAATGAATTGTTAAAAAACAGATCTTTGATTTACCTAAAATCCCTCTCTCGTGCTCCAAGCAATGCGCAAACATAACGAAAACAGTTTATTTTAGAAATAGAATACCTTGCAGCTAATCATGTTTGCCCCTTCTTCTCTGCAATAATACATGCTGCTAGTCATCACCATTCCATAGTCTAGACACTAGTGCTGATATGTACACTTCCACATTGGGCCCTTAATCAGTACACAGTTACAACGTTGTCAATTGTAAGTCTAACCAATTTATAATAAATTAAACACGGTAAACTTAATTGCAGCTAGAAACGATACTGCTGAGATGTTTGTATTCATGTTAAAGGCAATTAAACAAGCCGCTAGGTGCAGGCCAATATTTATTGATATGAACAGTGATGACTTCATGATTGTACCATGTATATGGGTGTATGTATGTATGTATGCATGTATGTACGTATACATATTATATATATATTATAGTGGTTAAAGTCGCACTATGCGCATCCAAGCGCTAATTTCTTCAGTACTAGACTAGTAAATACTTTGTGTCATGCATAATCACACTACCTTATCACAAAATAAACTCTAGTTCCTCCCATTTCACTGCGCATTGTCTTATAAAAGGCATTTGAAAATACCTCCAATGTTGTTCAAATTCTCTGATGTTGTTGACACTTTCGCGTTGCTCTGCCAAGCAACCGTGGAGCGGTGCTGCGGTACGGGTGTATCAAAGATAAAAACACGTGACGTCACCTAACCGATTATTGGTGAAATTGTTTGGCAAACAATTTAGCGTTGGCGCCAGATTACCAGATTTCGCCCCTCATTATTGTGGGTTTTAAGCAAACACGCACTGAAATGGGAGAAACTAGAGTCTATTTTGCCATAAGGTAGTGTGATTATGCATGACACGAAGTATTTGCTAGTCTAGTACTGGAGAAATTAGCGTTTGGATGCGCATAGTGCGGCTTTAACAATCTGCTTAGAATTGCTACAAAACGGTGCCAACAGGAATAATCTACCATTATTGTGATTACTTATTGGGACCCATGTTCTCTATCCTTGAACCAAATTCTGGGCCACCAAGCACTTTTAACTGACGGCTCTCCAGTGACTGCAGGAAGTTTCGTATAACTTTTACGTGACTGCAGAAAGGGTTCGCAATTGAGTCCGAAAAAAGATTTAAAGCTGTATTACCTATCTCCCAATTTTCAAAGCACTCTGCTGGTGTGCCACACCACACACTCATCAGATTTAACAGGATTAGCTGTGCTAAACTAGCCACATTTCTTGTGCCGGTTATATACAGTACAGTATCTAGCCGAACACAAACCGAAATTAAACCGTAAAAGTTGTTAGCGTTATGCGAAGGGTTGTGGGGCTAGGCAATTTATATTTGTATTACACAGTTGCAGCGTATTGCAGTCCCGATATATCATAGTCCGGGAGTCGGACAGTGTCACGTTCGTCAGTTAATAATCACACACACCCACATCTAAATGATGAACTTTTTGACACAGTGATAAACATCTAAAGCAATGTTGTTCACATTTCAAAATCACATGAAGCAGAGAAAGTAAGTTTACTTACCCATACACTATAGCTACCACATGAACGGACCACATAAATATCCATCCGGCGAAAAAGAGCGCGGCAATAACATAAACCACATAATCTCCTTTCGCCATCTTGGGATAGGCCGGTGTGAACTATGACCTCACCCGGAGCCTGAAAAAACATAAACTGTTTTGTAAAGGAACTTGTCATGTGGCGCCGGAAATAATTGAATTAATAATTTATAAAATTATATTAAATTTATTTTGCACGACAGATTTACAATATTAACGAAAAATTTAATACCACAAATTGACAGCACGTGACTGCAGTAAAATATTTTCAGGGTGACGTCAGAGGTCAACGTCGCCTACTGACGTATCAGCGTTGAGTGTGCACAGCAGACGGCGTGTCAATCGCAAACTACATAATTTTGTTTGTTGTGTTTGGTTTGGTTTATTCATAGTTTATTGTTTCGCTACAGTTTATAAGTCACGAAAGTTGGGTTCGCACAGTTCAATCGTGTTTCCCAAGCATGCCGAAATATTATGCTATTGATTATTTGTCGAAGGTGAGGCAGGACACATCTTGACTGGCTTGAGACTGAGTTCATACTTTACTTTTTTAACTTTAGACTGACTCAGTGAGTGACTGAGTCTATACTAGCAGTAGTATATACTATATACTAGTAGTAGTACTACTACTTTTTTAAGACTGAGTTTATACTACTACTAGAACTACTACAGTCTACAGCTACTACTACTACTAGTACTACTACAGCTACTACTACTACTAGTACTACTTCAGGTACTACAACTAGTAGTAGTACTAGTACTACTACAGCTACTACTACTACTAGTACTACTACAGCTGAGCTACTACTACTACTACTAGTACTAGTAGTAGTACTACTACTACTAGTACTAGTAGTAGTACTACTACTACTAGTTGGGGGGAAAACAAAAAAATTGGCCGTAAGAATTTTTATACCCTGACGCTATTTTAGCCTTAGGCCGCTTAGGCTTAGAAGTTAGAGTTAGGGGCCTATCCTATAGCTATTCTATCCTAGATTATAATAACGTCATATAATAAAAAAAATCTAGGGCACAATTTATTAGTCTCAGTTGAGAATTGTCATTTTAATATATATCTGCATGCGGCATAGGCCAGTCCCTACCCTGCGCTGCGTAAGTGCCACTGCGTTAGTGCCACTGCGTAAAAAGGAGTTAAAACTTCGTACAGCCATACAGGCTCTTAAAGATATCAAACATTTAATTTTATGAATGAAAATTTTTATTTAAGTAATGTACGTAATTATTTAGTAGGCCCTACTTCACAATCACATGCATTTTAAGTGACGAGTCTCAGAAAGGTGACCGACAGTTTTAATATTTTTAATGCAGGCCACGAGGCAACGAAAGACATTGATATCTGCTTTGCTACTTGCTGTACCCCATCATTTAAATGCTGTTGATGCATATGCGCACAATGGTAGAGTTAGAGATGACTCATACAGGAAGCCTGCTGACAAAGGTATACTGCCTTGAGTGAAAAGGATATATTGCTTGGAATGAAAACATAAATGATGTGATTCTGTCCAATAAGTGTGACTATACATTGAAATTTATGAAAACAGCAACAGCTATATATTACAGAATTTTAGATAAGCGGATAATTGTGCTGCCACGTGCTTCTTTTTCTCATAGCTTCTAAGTTCCAGGATTTGCAAGTATTTCAGCTAGATAGCATGGAAGTACTTCTGAACCAACTATACACAGGCAGAGAGAGACATGATAAAACATGTCACATAGAAAGCTTCATAGGGTAAATTTCTGACGTACTTACATTTTATAAAAAGTTTAGTAATTAACTACTCAAGTCATTTACAAACAATTTAGAAAATGACAAAACTGTCCAAAACTGAAATGTCCTGAGTTACATTATTTCCAAGTAGAGCTGCCCCTGCTTATACCCTGCTTTAATTAACACCTTTTTGATGTCATGCACATTTTATAGCTTCTTGCATTTGCATCTGAGAGCAGAAACAAGATTATGATTGAGGAAAATCTTCTGTACTTAAACAGCGTAGAAGAGCAAGTATCCTCTGATGGTCTGCTGGCCACATATGACTGTGAAGCATTTAACAGGAGTGATATCAATCGACAAGAAGTCTATGATGAAGCAACAACATTTAGAGGCAGTTATGGTAAGAAGACTTGCTCACCTATGTGAATCGTGAAGTTGTTGTCAGGTGGTAAACTTCTGGTAATGTTGAATTTGGCAGTGCTGTTAATATAAGGGATACTTTTGCAATGCATGCTGAAACATGGACTTTTTTTGCGTCGGCACTTTTAAGCCAGGTTCAGTTGTCGAGAGTATTTGGAAACCACTGATTTGTTTTGAGCCATTGATGCATCCCAATGCATTTTCGTTTCCCAAAACAAACAGAATCTAGCCGAGACAAAAGATCTTCTGAATTATTTTTAATTCACTTTGCTAAACTAGTATAAAAGTAATGAAACTGAGAGAAGCTTTAGCAAGTTTTTACATGTCAGATCGCTGGCTTCTCCGTCATTTGGCTGCACCTCTGTAGTCCGACAAGCAGCCATAGATTCCTGATTTCTTGAAGGTGTACGGTGGCAGCTGGAAGAACCAATGAGCATGGTTACGTGCGTGTGCACTGCACACAATCAGCTCAGCGGTGTGCCCACCTGTGATGTGCTTTGCTCACGACTTATGCCCCTCGCCGTTGATGACCCATTAGCAAAAGCTGATGGGACACCGTTTGGCCAAGCTGATCTCCTCACATATATTAGGTGTGTGATGTCCTTTTTTTTATTTTATATTTGCCAAAATTGAAATTGAAATTGTTTTTATTCAGCCCTATGGGCTGTTAGAGAGAGCTCTACGACAACGATAAGTACTAATATAACACATGGAAAACGTTAGGATAAGACTAATATCGAGACTAAGAAGTTTCTGAAAATGGCACCAAGGATCATAAACCTAGGTGTAATATTATTATAGCATTGTGTGAGTAGACTGTAGGTAAATGTATACACTGCACATCAATAAGACGAGCTGTTAATTAATTTCATACTAAAGGAGAGATATTTGCTTCGATGGAGAAACACGTCAGAGTGAGACTTGCCATTCAGGTGGATATCACCAAGTTGAGAAACTTGAAAAAGCAGATCTATTGAATTACGAGGTATGTTCAGCATATAGAATTAAAGTATAGGTACCTATACTCATTTGCACGTATACAACCTAACATGTTGCACCATCTTCTGGATAGATGTTGTCCTGGCTGTTGTTGAGCATAAATAAATAAATAAAAGTGTAATAGCACTGTTGTTACTAGAAGGAGTGCTCTGATTGTTGGCCATTGGAATGAATAAAGTGAAGGATTAATATTCCAAGAAGTTTTCTGAGAATACTGGCTAGCATTAAGTTTGCTGGAACCTATCATTGACTTGTTAACATAGAAGAATTACCACATGCACTTCAGTTGTTCAGTGCCTAATATAGAAAAGATGTAGACAGAACAAAACGAGAAAATAAGCATATGGATGATTCTGCTCATAAATATAAAACATAACCTTGTTGTTTTGATAAACAGCAAAACAAAACAAAGGTTAGAGGTCACATAGAAAATTATAGGACAGCTGAACTTTGGCTCATGAATAGAATCATAAACATCTCTATACTAGCATAGATATGGTCATGGACATGGTAGAATCAGTAGAATGTTAGACAACCTTGCTTTATCTAGCATGTGCATGAGCGCATGTTGCCAAGCATGATTGATGATGCAACTCGCATTTAAATGGGTTTTCCATTTTACAAATTAGTTGGTTATTTTATTAGTTTGCGAATTTAGTGCAACTGTTCAGCTTCGGCTTAACTACGAGCCTTACTTGACATGAGCAATTAACATAAAACGCAATCAATAGATCACAGAAATGAAAATAAAAATGAAAAATATACAGTGGTATTTTACATAAACATGAATTATGGAAATTGTGGAATTTTTTAACTATTCTCGCGCCTTCAGAATGCCTTGCATGATTTGTGACTGTAGGATAGCCTTAGGTATCAACAAAAATGGTGCTAGATGATTTAATAATTGACCTAAATTTCTGATTGCGATTCACACATGCTGCTGGATAATAGACTGGTTGTGATTCTATGTGGCTTGGATATGTTCAGGATCGCATGACATTAGATATAAGAAAGACAATAAAAATTTGCCTTGCTCTAAACAAAATAAAAAAATTGGGCTCTGTGGGTCGTATGACAAACAGTAAATGTGCCTCTCATACACCAGACTGCGCCTATTGTTAGTCCTACATTAGCCTTTACGGTTTACATTTACCATAGACGGTTGCCAGAAACACAGCTGTAAAGTTTCTCAAATTGTATTCGAGTTGTATAGAAGTCCTGTCTACGAGAAAGAAGTTGAGATTAAAGTTAAAATTAAGTAAGGAAACTTAAGTAAGATTAAGTAAGATTAAGTAAAATAATTAAGTAATAATTACGTAAGTTAAATAAATTAAGTAAATTAGGTAAAATTAAGTAAAGTAAAGACTAAAGTTAAGATTAATTATATTTGTGGAAACGGGCTCGATGATGGTTGTGCGTCAATCAGGAGCTGCGCTGGGACAGGATGCTGCTGCTGGAACAACCAGCATGTGCCGGGGTGTATGACAGCGCATCTCAGCGCCAAGAAGGGTTCGTCGCACAGCTACGCACGCGCCTCAGGCACGACCAAGGTTTCCTGCAGAGTGCCGACGACGTCACGTGGTCGGAGCAGACGAGCTGTAATTACAAACTAGAGGTGGAGCCACTGTGCCCCTCGCTGAGCAAAACGGTCGCTGCACCCTCTACCGATATTGAACTTGTCTGCCAAGGTAAACCGTCCCAGCGTCACTGTTGCCTTGACGACGTCTAGAATTATGTTTTTAAAGGAAACGCGAGTATAACGTCAATTAGCTGCACTATAGGATACCGGTGTTTCTGGTTGTAGATGCAATTTTTTTACCATTTTTCTCTTCAATTCAATGGCCATCCTGGGGGGATTTGATGTAGTTTTTCACACTGACGATGGCATTGTGCGTTAACGTGATCATAACCACCTA